CAAACTAAGCTCCTTTTTTTTTTTTTTAATTTAATTAATTTGTAATTTTAACAATTGTAATTTACCTAAAGTTTTCTAGCGAACAGTTCAAAAAAAAGCACAATATGTATGTACAGGCAATAAAAATTGTACCATTGATAAACGATTTCGTAGTCGATGCCAATACTGTCGTTTTCAGAAATGCATTGCAGTTGGTATGGTTAAAGAAGGTAAATAAAATTATTATTTCTGTTAATTAAGTCAAATATCTGCATACAGTTATCAGTGTTATCATTTAAAATATTGAGGTATAATCAGATTTGATATAAAATATAATTTGATAAAAATTATTTAAACTTTAATTCTCTTGTTTTTTTTTTTTTTCTCAAATGACACTAGGAATTATAGTATTAGTGATAAATAGTGATAACAGTGAAGAATGTAGCAAAAGATTGATAAGCAATTTCATATCAGTTATATCTGAATTATTTTTCTCATCTTCAAATTATTGCAATCATTTTTTCATCTTTTTTTTTTCCTGCAGTGGTTCGATACGGTAGCTTATCGGGGCGACGAGGTCGTTTACCGTCAAAAACAAAAGTGCAACATTCAGACGACCCACCCAGTCCACCGCTACCACTGCTAACACTTATCAATAAAGCATATGTGGAATCGAAAACAATTCCTACACCAACGTTATATGTTTGTCTTTCACGTGGTCATATCGTATCGTTTAGTGAATTTTAATGATGAGTCATGCAATGAGTAATTTGTAAATCAATGAAATGAAATGCATTCTGAAATATTTCTTTACCAATTTCATTCAAATTATTATTTTAGAATGGTGGCACAGAGCAATTATTGTCCGCAATGGATGAAGAATTTCGTTTTATGCTACTTTTCGTGGAAAAAATACCAAATTCAACGGAGATCTCTCAAAATGATATTACTAAATTAATTGAATGCAATTTTTTTGCATTATTGGCACTAAAACTTTGCTATGGGTCATTTATTGTTAAATTGTTATCTTTTATCAAATTAATTTAATTGAATTTCTATTGTTTTCATTTAGCATTACCAAGAAGTTATAGATAATTGAATAAAATTTATAAGCGAAAAAAATAATAAAAATCTAATTTTTTAATAGAATGGAATAAAAAAAAAAAATGAAAAGAGAAAGAAGTAGGAAAAAAAACCATAAATAATTGTATACTTTTTAATAAGTGTTCAAATGATTTTTTAACTTCATTGCTCTCAATTCATAATTTTCCTCATCGATCTTTTTTCATTTATCATTTAACTACTATCTCTATCATATTTATTTATTATTTAAATAGCTTATCATATATGTTTCAAATTTCAGTAATATTTGGAAAATTTTTTTTTTTAAATTCTGTTAAAATTTCAGATGGACTGAAGGTAATAATAGCTTGCATATGGAACAAATTGAGGTGGATATAGCAGCAGTACCACAACCGTTGAAATTACTTTTTACTTTAATACAAGAAGAAGCAAAACGATTTCAACATCTAATACAATGGGATCCACCATCTTTTTCAGCTTTACTTGCTTTACAATTTCTCAATACAAAAGGTTAATAATCATTTTTACAACAATTATCAAATTAATAATTAATTTCCTATGCAAATGTTTTGTTTGAATAAAAAATACAATAACAATAAAACATTAAACTGATTGTTATTGGATGTGTACTTTATTAGTTATTCAAATTGGTCTTTTTATTTCATTATTAATTTGACTTTCATAGTTTCAAAGTTCAAAATTCTAGAATGTGGTGCTGAGTTACTTAGCTCAGATGCAGCGGTTGATAAATTACGTGGTACCATCACAAGTGCATTGAAAGATCACTGTTGCAATTCGTCACCACCACACACCAAAAAGCTACAAACAATTATTGCCCAAGTCAGCTTCTTCTCAATTATTCTCATAAAATATATTGAAAGGCGCAAATGTCGCACAGAAATCCATTTTTCATTTCTTTTCTAGAAATAAAGTTTAAATACCGAACAGAATGCATGCAATTGTTCACATTTGACAACTAAGCCTTTTTCTTTTCAGTTCACAAAAAAGTTAGTTTGGGTTCTTCTTGATGCTTTTCAAAATTTCATTACTTTGAATATCATTCAATGCATCTACTCAAGTTATTTGTCATAAATTCAATCCATATGCAAATTCATTCCATGTGTCCATACATTTCGCAGATTTAAATTGAGAACCATTGAAAGTTATTATTCAGATTTTTCAGGCATTAGCGAGTTTTATTCATTTTAACTAACCACAACAATTCAAAGTCAATTATTTTTGACTCTTTCGACTTACATTGCTACTTTATTTTCATTATTTCACTAATAATTAAATTTTTAGATCGAAATGTTCACCCGATTTCAACGAATTGGACAAGAAACTCTATCACTTGCTGTTTCATCTGGTGTACAATTACCGCCTTTAATGTCCGGTGCTGTACAAACCGCCCAACGATTTCCTGGTCCGTCAAAATTGGACTTCACGGAATTTTCATTCTGTCCTTAAATTTTTTTAAACTTCATTTACTTGTTTATAGCAATATTTCCTCAATATTTTCAATATTTTCTTCAACTCTTTTTTTTTTTGGCTTAAATTAAGCTAAGAATGAAAAAACAAGAAGATGACATTTGCTTTTCGATTACGAAAATTTAAACTGAGCTTTATCAGTGCCTTCCCTTTATGAATGACAATATCTTGTAATAACAATGATAAACTTTTTTTATCAATCTCTTTTTTATCACTTGTATGCCTTTCATAATGAAATTATTCAACATTATCTATGATGAATTTAACATTTCCCACTAATACATTTTTATGCCATAATATTTTCAAAAAATTAAAATCTTTGAAATTTTCACCAAAATATGTTAAAATGAAAGAAAAAAAAATGCTAAATTTCGTGTAAAATTGTTTGTGTAATAAAATAAATTTCAATTCAATTCAATTACATTTATTTAAAGTACTACATGCAATCAATGATAAATAATTTTTATTTTACAAAGAAATAAACCAGAAATGAAAACGAAAAACATACAACTTTGATATTCACTTTTTAACAAAAAGTCACAAATAATACATTTATAACAAAGGCTACAATTAACGAACATACTTTCATATTTATTTCTTTCCCTTAATTATTACTTTTTTCATTGCTCCTACATTTTCAATTAAACATTTATTTTTCAAATTATAACTACAGGTTGAGTACATTTTCTTGTGATCAGGTATCGAATTAATTAAAACTAATTGTTTCTGCTCTTTTTTTTTTTCAAATAATTTTTGTAAATTTTTTGAAATCTGTTTGTGTTCTCTTTTTCTTCAACATTTTATTAATGATCTTTTTTTTACGATGCGATGTTATATTTTATATATTTGAAAATTTGTAAACTGTTATTTTCTTGAGTTTAATCCACAAATTTTCTAAAAATATTACAGTAGCATCAAATATAAGTGTTTTTATAAATTTTGGAAATTGCATCTTTTTGCAGAGATAAATTGCTATTAAATATAAAAAATCATTCATTCTTTCAATTTCTTTTAAGAATTTCCAATTTGTCATTTCATTCATTAATAGAATTTATTTATTTTTTTTTTATAAATTTTCAAATTTTATCTTGATTTTTAAAGCGAAACAATACAAAAAAACTTTGTTTTCTAAGTTACCTGCAATTGTGCTTAGTATTAAAATTTTCCCATAGTTGTGCCCATGGTTTGCCGAAATAAGTATTTAACTTCGATTTTTATTTATGCACTCTGCATGGTTCGTCTATAATTATTCTAGAAAAATTTCGGAAGAAAGTTTTAATTTCTAGTCCTGTTTTTTTTTTTTTTTTTTTTCTAATTTTTTATTTGATTATATATATACGTTATAATTTTTTTAATGATAAATTTGAAACTTATAAAAGATGTACTATTATTCATGATCAATCGATTCTAAAGGTTAACATACGTAATTTAATGCACTTAACGTACTTCTAAATTCTCTTACTTCACTACCTGTCATTATTACTTTAATATCAATTTGTTGCTTTTATTATTTTGCATTTTTCCACAGTAACGTATTCAGTGCTAACAAAATACCGTAAGAATTTCAGCAATGACTAGATGATCAATATTTGTACAAAATTTCTTTTTCAGATTTAGTTATTACTAAAAATATTTTTCTATATACGTCGTTGTTTATTTCAACGTAATCGCAGCCACGGTACAATTTCCTTATTTCTCCAAAAAAAAAAAAAAATCATTTTTTAAAAGTCTTTCATTTTATACTGATAGTATATTTTACAGAGTATTTACAGAGTAGGTTTTTGATTTCTTTCCTTCTTTATCATAACACTTGGAAACATTAAATTTTTTCAATTCAATAAAAAACACTGATTAAACTTAATATCAGTCGTTATTTAAAGATATATTGTAGATGAGAAAGTTTCCTAATATTACATATCAATGTAAATTCCTATACTTTAACTTAATAACTTGAATTTAAAAAAGAAAAAAAAAACATTTCTCAAATTATACTGAAATGAAAAAGTTATATCACTTTAAGGAATAAACAGAGAGATATCGACAAAAGTAAAAAGTACAATGCATGGACAAAGGAAGAGTAATGATGAATTAAATAAATGAAAATTAGTAATGAATGATAATAAATTTAAACTAAAATAAATAGTGTAAATTTGTATTAATCAAATTAAATTTTACATTTGCTGGCTTATAGTTAAGACTATTTTAATAATACTATCAACAAAAGAGTTATGACAATTAATTAATTTTTGTTCATTCCTATTTTATTCCATTGAAAAAAAAAAAAGTGGAAAATATTTTAAAAACAGTAGAAAATTCAGATATTCAAAGACAGAGTGGAAATCTACTTGCTACCTGCTCAAAGATATGTAGAAAACGACCTGTGTACATTATTTACAAATTTAATGCGTGAAAAACGTGCGCACCGCACCTTACGATAGAGATGCCATGCCTCATGCTGGAATCGAACCAGCGACCTTCTGTTTACTAGACAGACGCTCTGCCCCTGAGCCAATGAGGCCTTAGGCTTACAGTCAAATTATTAAATTATAAACATTGTATAGGTAAAATATTTAGGAATTAATTGACTATATTCAGGGTAATATGAAATAGTTGACAATTATGTGAAATAATTGACAGTTATAGTTGACAGTCACCGCCTCTCCGCGACATACCAGAGAAAGGGCCGAGAAATTTCAGAGTAAGAATAGGCCGAGCCATATTCTACGGACGTGAGCTATTTTTAACACTAAATTCGGATTGATTTTGGGAATTTGTTTTTTTTTTTTTGGGAGGGAGGTGGAAGTTTTTACGTGATAGGATAGTAGTACGTGAGACTATCTAAGTTCATAATATACGAAAAGATTCGATCTTGATGGAATTTGTTAGTAAAAAGCTAATAAGTGCAAGTTTTTACGTGATGGGATAGTAGTACGTGAGACTATCTAAGTTCATAATATACGAAAAGATTCAATCTTGATGGAATTTGTTAGTAAAAAGCTAATAAGTGCAAGTTTTTACGTGATGGGATAGTAGTACGTGAGACTATTTAAGTTCATAATATACGAAAAGATTCGATCTTGATGGAATTTGTTTGTAAAAAGCTAATAAGTGCAGGTTTTTACGTGATGGGATAACACGTGAGATTATTTACTGCCTAAAATGGGGATTGTTGGAGGCGAATAAATGTGAATGTCTCTTCTTTTTTTTCTCATTTATATTACTTAATATGGGGAATGGGAAAATCCCATAGATTTTTCTGCTCCGCGATATACCAAAAGCACATTGAGAGATGTTAAGAATGAGTTTGCAGATTTTCAGTAATATTTTGAATAGATGTGATGTTTCTTTTGACTGTGATGTCGCTTGTGCGAATGTTAACTAATTTTTTATAAAATCTTTAAAGGGATATTGAATTTATGCGTTAATTTTAATAGAAAAAAGATGCTAGGTAGTGGAAGGAATGGTAAAGATTGATAATAATAAGTATGAGATATAGTTTTTTAGAGATAGTAAAGATATTCCATTGCTAACAAATGGCGGAATGATTCAGAAAGATTTTAAAGGAAATGTATATTATGTAAATATTAATAAGAAGTTGACAAAGATTATTGTGTATTGGAGCAACAATTGTCAGTGCTTTGTTTTCAGAGCAGGAAAGACGCAAAGTTTAGCTTATGCGTAGTACCGTGATTTCGTTCAATTTGAATATACTTCTATTCCGAGAAGTTTGATCCACAGATTAGGTTTGCGCATTTAAAGAAAAGTAATGTTAGTGAGAAATTATCGCAAATAACATCATTGTTAATGTTCAGATTTGTAAAGTCTTAAAGCAGAAATATGAAATTTTTTAATTTAAAAAAAGCTATGAAGAAATATTTTTGCAGGAATGTTCATTAATAAAAATGTGTTATGGGATGAAAAATCTGAAAATGCAATTTCAGATAGCCTGATGGCGAAAGACGAAGGTATTCCAATTTTTGGTTAACTGTGTGCTTCTCTTGCTTCAATAAATATTACGTCATGATTTTCTTCAATGGATTTTTTGTTATTAACTCATTCCTTTTTTTCTTTTGACTTGAATCTTTGTATCTTGCAGTTTCACAGAGTTGTGAAATTTCGATGTTTTGGAACTAAATAGATTCTTCAATTTAAATGGGAGTGTTTCAGGCAAATAAGACAAAGATTTCAATCATTTACTGTATTCAACAGAGGCTGGAAATTTCTGAGTAGTTTAGGGCGAAGAGGGAAATAAATAAAGTTATGGAGACATTCTAATGTCATGCAGTTTCATGTTTTATTTGGTCTTTTTGTTGTAAATCTGTTTTCAGGTAGCTTTTTTTAGGAAATGAAAATATTTCAAATAAAAGAATTTTGCCGAAACGAAAAGCGAAATTGATGGGACGGCGGTATTTCGAAGACCTATTTGTCTTGAATCCACCACCGAACAAGCGCAGTCGTTCATCATTGGTGCTACAGCAAGCTAAGCTGGTTCCTGTTTTTAACTATGACGATAATTTAAATAGGGTAAATAAATCTTATTTTGTATCTACATTATCCTTCTTCTTTTTCATAATTATTCATTTCATAGAAAATTTCGTCTTTCGTAGGTTTTTCTATGATTCATTTAAATTAGTAGGAGTTTCGAAGAAATTCAAGGGTAGTGAGTTTGACTTGTAGAAGTTTAATTCCAGATATCCTAAATTTTGTAGTTTGATTGTTTCAGCGTATTTTGTCATTTCAGTTCGGATTTGAAAAAGAAGATAGCGACGAAGATTCTGAAAATATCAAATCAAAAGATTTGGATGCCTCACGAATATCACTTCCTTCGACGCTTCCATCAACGTTGATAGATGTATCAAGAACTTGTAAAAGAAGAGTCTCGTAAGTTCCTAACTTGTACAAATAAAAATCAGCACTAGATTCTTTCGTCTGCTCTAGAGATTTGTGTGATATTTATATTTAATTATTTTGATGACTAAAGGAAAGTGCTTAAGGGTTGCTTCGAAAATATGCAAATCCAAGAAATCATCAATTTGGAAACAGAAGATTGGGACGTCTGATGATGGTTTCTCACTGCACAAATCATTTAAGCTGAGTGATAAAGTTGATTTGGTCGACGGAGAAGTTCAGAAAAGTAAATCTGAAAAAGTTGATGAGAACCTAGGGAAGCCGTTTAAACGGATTGATGGCCTGTATTCGAATCATTGTAAGAAACCGTTCATTATAGTAAAGCGAACGAAAGTTTTTGCTGGAGCTAAGTTCATCAATGATAAGGTAATTCATTCGCTGGACAATTTGAGTTTTAAAATAGCATGAATGATATTAAAAAACTATGAAAAACCTTAACCATTTTCTGCTGATCTTTGAAGAATTGGATTAATTGCAGCACAGTTCCTTAGGACAAGGATCTGAAGATAATGATGGTGGTAAAGATTTTGAGTTTTCTGGAATATTGGAAAATCTCACTGAACTAGATTCTCATTCCGGAACTAATTCGAATATTCATTCTGAAAAGAATTTAAAAATAAGGTGTGTTGCATTCCAAAAACTCCAAAAGTGATATTGTGATAAAATATCTCTTACAATCCATGAAAAGTAGAAGTTTCAGACGACAATATAACTCAGTATGCAAAAGCAGGCGGTTAATTGCAGGTAAATTTATGTCATTTTTGTCATTCAATTCTGGAATACATTCATAGCGATGTTTATCATTGCTTTGCATAAAAACCAAAATTTTTAATTCCAAACTTATTTTATGCATCAGCATATTATTATTCATATCAAACTTGAATTGCATGCAGTAATATTCCATTATGAGAACAGATTAACGTTGTACTGATGTCATGGAATTCTGATATTTAATCGACCTTTCATATTTCAGAAAAGAAATCGAACGATCAATATGCCACATGTGGTATCATTTCGAACGTGTGTGCAATAGTAACTTTTTAACATAGATATTGATTTTTTCAGTTGGGTAAAAAGTGATTTAGATTGCTAAATATAAAATATGACAGATTTTTTTTAATGTTTGTACTTAATTTAGATTTAATTTGTCAGTCTGTACTTTCCGAATCAATTGCCATCCTTTACCACATTGAAAAGTTACATTTAAATATAGCTGAATTTCTGATCTAATGAAATTACGCTTTTAGAGAGTCGAAACTCTAGAGGCAGTTTATCGTCGTTTACACACTTCTGAGATTCCAGAACGGTTGCCTTGTAGGGAAGCGGAATTCGATAGGATATGTGCATTTATAAAAGGATGCGTTACAAATGATGCGATTTCGCAAGCAATGTATATAAGTGGTGTACCAGGTACTGGTAAAACCGCAACCGTACTGCAGGTAAGTTTTTCTTTTCTTTTTTTAATTTTATCACTGATACTAATAAGAGGCAATTTGTGTCTAGTAAATGATGGATTATTTTTGAGACTAATTTTAAGAATCTGGACGCGCTGGTGTTTAATAGTCAATATTATGATAATGGTAATGCTGATGATTTACTTTTGATTCTGAATGGCAGTTTGAAGATTACTTTTCATTTTTCATACTATATGTGCTTTATGTTATTATATGAATATCGTCGCTTAGTTAAAGTCTAGAATTAAAATACAGTTTTTTTTTTTTTTCATATTTTAAAATTAAATTTTGATATTGTAATTTTGCAGGCTGTGCGTCATCTGAAAGCTTCAGAGAATTTTTCTGGATTTAATTTTGTTGCGGTTAATGCAATGGAACTATCAGATCCGAAACAAATATTTGTCAAAATTTACCAGGATTTATTCAGTTTGAAGAAGAAAATCGCACCAAAGTAAGTTCATTTTTCATTCACTTTTTGAAGTTCGCTGCAATATATCGAGAATTTAATAGCTATGATTCCAATTAAGGTACTCCGTCTGATCACCAGCTAATTTCATTGTCATCAATTTGGTCCATCTTATTTTTTGGGTCCATATTCTGAATTTACTGCAGTATTAATAAACTTCCATTCTTTTTCATCTTCTTCATGAAGAAATTAATATTTTTTAAAATAATTTTAGGACAGCACGAAAGAAACTGAACGACATCTTTCAGTATCATGACAAGAAACGATTACCAATTATTGTTTTAGTTGATGAAGTAAATAGTTCTTGCTTCTGATATTTACATTCGAAGTAATGAAATTTTATGAACCCTGTCTTTGTCGCATTTCTGCTTCCTCTAACTTCTAGCTAATATATGATACAGAATTTGAGAAGGTTTCTTACAATATTTTTCAGAAATTAAAGGAAAGGTTTGCCATGAGGCAAAAGATAGAGAGAAAAAAACCTCTAGTTTTTAAGGCTTTTCAGTTTATCGACTAGTAAACATTATATATGGTTGGCTTTCCACCATCTAAATTTAAATTGTTTATTGAAGTGAAATTCTTCGAAGAAAATGCATGGATGTGGCAGCAAGACGTACATATCTTTTTTTAGCTGGACCTGTTAAATACCAAAAGGCAAGAAATAATTTACGATATATTCAATTGGTCAGCAAATGAAGAATCGCTTGTAAGTGTCATAGCTATTGCGAACACTCTCGATCTTCCGGAAAGACTTTTTTCGCAACGCGTTTCAAGTCGATTGGTAAGTAAAACAAGCGTAGGTTTGAGCAACTTCAAAATTACTTTTCTCAAAATTTCTTGTTCTAGGGTGCTAACAGGCTTTGTTTCCAACCGTACGATCATGATGAAGT